ATGTTTGTTGACTATTGACTCCCATTAATAAGGCATCAGAGGGTTGCAGTCAACATCAGTATAGAGAACTAGCTTGGAAACAGAGTTAATTGAACTACTGAAGAAACCAAATGGAATGGCTGTGGCAGGTCCAGTAGTCAAGGAGGACAGCACAGGGCAGTAGAAAGAGGTCTAGATTTGGAGTCCAAGGAACTGGGTTCAAATCCTGGCTTTGCTCCTTACTGTGTCCCTTTGTCTCTCTAGGCCTCAGTTTCTTTTGTAAAATGGAGTTGAGCTAGATGACCTCTTCGGTCTATTCTGGTTTTAAACCTAAGATCATGATCCTGTGATGTTGTAGCATGTGATACTTTTCTTCCCAGCACAGCCACTTTCCTCCTAAAGGTCTCAATTTTTCCATCTATTAAATGGGAATGATGCTCTATTAAGGTGACAAAATGAATGAGATGATATGGCAAAGACCATCCCATAGGACATATTTTTTCCTGGATCAGTTTTCTTTCTTAGTGGCCATATGAAAATAATGACTAAGAAAAAATAATTACCCTTTTTACTTTGTAGAGCATTTAAAAAAGAAAAACTTTCCCAAGGGCTTTGATGGTCATTGTCTCATTTTCTTTCCACAGCATCTCTGTTAAATAGGTGGGGGTATTTTGCAGATGAAGAAACTGAGGTACAGAGATAGACAATTACTGCATTTTTATGCTGCCCAAATCCCAGTCCAGTGTTCTTTCTACCAAGTCACTTCTTGGAACTGAAAATGCTTATTATTCTAAAGCCAGAATTTGATTCATCTGTGTTGTCCCGTGAACACCTTGTACTTGGAATTGATGACTGTTTGGGGATGAGAGAGGGTAACAGAGATGGAAAGCCTGTTGTAACTCTGCACATAGTGTATAAGGAGGTGCCAAGGAGGAGAGGGCAGCTGGTTTCTTGAGGAAAAGCTGGGAGACAGATAATAAAAAGAAATGGTCTTCTTCAAGGCCTGTAGTACAACCCAGGGCTTTTTGCCTGGTGGGGCCCATAGGAACAGCTGACATTCTAATGGCTCTTTAGGGTTAATCAGTTGACCACATCTCCAGTTAATCTGTAGCCTAGCTCGGGGAGTTCGGGAGGCTTTGCAGATGTAACCTATGATGTCAGTGCAAAGAAATGTGCACTTTACATTTACAACCTGCAATTACATATTGCAGATGTAAAGTACTATGTCAGGGAAAGGGGCCACTTGTGACTTCTAACCAAAGACCTGTCTCTGCACAGTCAAAAAAACCAGATCTGCCTTAAAGGGCAAAGTGTAAAACACACTTCAAAGAACCTGTTGGGTGACTTGGTAAGCCCTAAGTTCTACTCCAGAGTTGCCAAACCCTGGTCATCTGATCCTTCAGTCTTTTGCACAGATGTGCTGACCTAAGTAGGGAGGAAGGTTAGCTTGAGTGACCATACAGAGATCAGAGGTCAAATGTTGAGTAGGGGAACTGCTAGAGATGCAGTTTGGCTGGAATGCACCATGTGAAGGGGAGTAATGCAAAATAAAATGGGAAAAGTAGTTTGGAGCCTGACTGTCAAGCACCCTAGGTGCCAGGGTAAGAGAAAGCAGAATCGTTCTGCTTTCGGCAAAAGCTGGATGGCCACCCACCCACCCACCCATCCATCCACCCACCCACCCATCCATCCATCCACCCACCCACCCCATCCATCCATCCATCCATCCACCCATCCACCCACCCATCCATCCACCCACCCACCCATCCATCCACCCACCCACCCATCCATCCATCCACCCATCCATCCATCCATCCATCCATCCATCCATCCATCCATCCACCCACCCACACATCCATCCATCCATCCATCTACCCATCCATCCACTCATTCATCCATCCATCCATCCATCCATCCATCCATCCATCAATTATTTATTGTTATTGTGAATAACAACTAGCATTTATACAGCCTTTTAAAGCTTGCAAAGAGCTTTACAGATATTATCTCATTTTATCCTCACAATAGCCTTGGGAGGTACATGCTATTATTAGCTTCATTTTGCAGATGAGGTTAAGTGACTTGCCTGAGGCCACACAGCTTTTCAGGGTTTGAAGCTGTACCTTAGGACTTGGATTTAGGTCTTCCTGACACCGGGTCCAGTGCTCTATCTACTGTTCCACTTGATTACTCATCATGAGCCAGGCATTGTGCTAGGCACTAGTGACACAAAGATAAGAGCGAAACAGTCCCTGCCCTCAAGTAGCTTACAATGTAACAGGAGAGACTACATGTATGTATATAGGTATAAGTAAAACAGAGCAGCTAGGTGGTGCAGTGGTTAGAGTACCAGACCTGGAATGAGGAAGACTCATCTTCACGAGTTCAAATCCGGCCTCAGACACTTGCTAGCTGTGTGATCCTGGGCAAGTCACTTAACCTTGTTTGCCTCAGTTTCCTCATCTGTAAAATCAGTTGGAGAAGGAAGTAGCAAACTGCCCCAGTATCTTTGCCAAGAAAACCCCAAATGGCATCACAAAGAGCCAGAAGCAACTGAAAATGACTGAACAGCAACAAATATATAAAATTCATGCATAGGTAGATATAAAAATATATAGAAAAAAGATACAAAAAGGCAATCAGGGAAGGCCTCATGCAAAAAGATGGCATAGGTTGTAGGAAAGGATTCTTATTCTTGTATGAGTTAGGCTAAGGGCCCACTGAGGCCCCTTCCAAATGAGATTCTGAGCTTGGAGGGGAAAGGTTTAGGACTAATTGCCTGGCCTGAGGAATAACCCATGTTCTGCAATAACAGATTTAAAACTAGAAGTGATTTTAGAGGATGTTGAGTCCAACCCACTCCTTTAGGAAACTGAGGCTGAGCAGGGTGCACTTATTTGCCAAGGGATATTGTGCTAGGAGGTATCTGAGAAAGGTTTTAAACTCAGGTCTCACTTGACACTGTGCTATGCAGCATACCACCTTAGAATCGAGCAGCACAACTGCGTCATGCAAAGAACTATTGACAATGGACTAATGACATTAAAAAAATTTGTAGTATGACATAATTGGTCAACACCTTCAGCATGTTAACTTAGCATCCACTTACTTTAGGCACTGGCCTAATTCCTGAGAGGAGCACAAAAGATACAATTCTTATCACTATGATAGCACTTCAGCTCAGAATTGAAATTTGGAAAGTCAAAAGGAGGCGAATTCTTTCCTTTCCCTAGTTTAATTTCTCTCAAATCTTCCTTGGAAGTTCTTCTGTAAGCAGTGTCCACTGGCATTGAGCTTGAGTCTTGTTGATATAAGCACTGTGATTTCACCTTTCCAATTCCAGACCTTAAATTGCACTTGGAAAGAATTTGACCTGAGAGCAAGTAAGAGGTAAAGTCTGAGTACTGGTTGGGAAACATGGCTACAGCCATAGCTCTGAAAATTACTTCGTGCTGATCAAGGGCTCCCTGCCTCGGCTGTTCCAGTTGTCAATGGAGGGCAATGACTGTAGGTGCGGTGAAGGTTAACTTTTAGAAAGCATCATGTTATAGGAGCATAGATCCAGACATGGAAGGACTCTCAGAGTCTAACTCCCTGCTTTTACACGTGAGGAAAGTGAGGCCCAGAGGCTGCAAGTATAAATGTCAAAGGTGGATTTTAACCTGGTCCTCTGACTCCCCCTTTGTAATGAACCTTACTTTAGCTCTCCTTTCCCACCGTCGCACCTTTACCAATGCTGGTTCCCCTCTCTGGTCACATCCACCAGTCTAAGTTCCAACCTTCTTTGGAGACCCAACTTCAGTTCTAAAACCTCAAAAAATCCCCTCCTAAACCACCACAGCCCTCAATGATTCTTTACTCTTCTGAACATCTTTGGCATTTGTTGCTTATACCACTCACTGAGTCCTTGGCATTGAGTAATACACACACACACACACGCACACACACACACACACACACACACACAATAATATATATATATGCCCTTCCCCCCATCTACATCCAAAGCAACCATATATTTTCTGTTTCTTTGTGTTTCCTGTGCCTAATCTATAGATGGTACTCTAAAAAGGTTTGCTGTTGTTGATGATAATGATGATGTATGACAGATTTCCCAAGTGAGTCTTACAATCACCTTTTCTTTGAAGGAAATGTGCCAGAAAACCTGTGTAGTACCACTGTAGTAAGGAGAAAAATATGGCAATCTAAACACCTAACTAGTCCATTCCATGTCCTTTTAGATCTACAATCTTGCTTGAGATTAGTGGCTCAGACAATGGTGTACTTGACACCATGTCAAGCAATGGCACCATTCTGCTGAAAATAAAAAAGGATTAGAAAATAAAGAAAGAAGATCCTCTCTTCTCTTCTCCTGCCTTGTCTTCCCCTCCCCTCCCCCACTTCCCCATCTCCTTCACTCCCCTCCTCTGCCCCTTCCTCTATCCCCTCCCCTTTTCTCTACCCTATGTTACTCTCCCCTCCATTCCTCTCCTCTCTGTTCCTCTCCCTCCCCTCCCTTCCCCTCCCCTCCCCTTCCCTTCCCTTCCCTTTCTTTTCCTTCCCACAGTCTGACATGAAGCAAAGAGAGCCCAGCAACAAGGAATGCCACCAGTTCCACAAAACTGAATACTGATGCATGAGCATCACTCATTTGTTCTCTTTTCCAAGCTTCCGTCTTCATACTTAGCATTTTCTCCATAGCGTATGTGACACCAAGAGAAAAGTTCATGCAAGGCCATTAATACTGTGTCCTAGAAGATGGTATTGGAGAATGAGGGCACTCTAAGTCTTTGGTCTGGTTCTTAGGGTCAATTCCAATTTTCTAAATCATTAATTTTCATTTTTAAGTCAGCATAGCAAATCATTGTATGAATATGAAAAACAGAAGGTTTCTCTCTTTCCTTCATAGAAAAATCCAATGAATAATAATGAGAACTACCATTGATCTAGCATTTTAAGGTTTACAAATTGCTTTATAGAAATTATCTCACTGGATCCTCACAATAATCCTGTGAGGTAGGCTTCATATGATCATCCTCATTTGACAGATGAGGAAACTGGATCTGGAAGAGGTAAATCAACTTGCTCAAGGTCTCACAGCCATCCAAGGTCAGAGACAGGAACTCAGTCTAACTCCCAGTCTAGCATTCTATCTATTGTGTCTACTGGTTGCTTCCAAAGAAACAGCCAGACATATGTAATGCAAATATAATGAGAAGAATAACTTCTGGCAGGAGTTGAGGTTGAGAATGTCTTCTTTGGCTAGGATATGGTTGCTACAGTTTGCAAGGGGATGTTGTTAGATTTCTTCTTTTCTTCTTTTTTGGTGAGTATGCATTGAGAGAGTTTATTTAAGAACCAGCCAACATCCTGAAGGTCCTCAGGCCACCTCAGGTATGGTTGCCTCTGCACAAAGACTCGGATAGGTGGGTATTTCATCAACTGATACTGGGAGAGGGATCCAGCTACCACCATGATGAGGACATCTTTAAGATCAGAGAAGTATCTGCTCTGGGCGAAATTGAAAGCTTCAATGCACCAGCCATCTTTGAGGAAATGCCTCGTCACAATGCAAATAGTCTTCCTGCTACTCCAAATGGCATCCTGGATGTTGCTGATGTGATCCTCTCCTGGGAGGAAGTCCCTTTCCTCAAAACACAGGTTAAATCTATTTTCAGAATTGTACCGGGAGTCCAAGTGAGTGAGCAGTGCATTCTGCACCCATCCAAAGTCTTTGTTACTGAAGCACAAATATGCATCATATTTGTGCTGATCCTCTTCTACTCCCTGGGGATGGTCTTTGAATACCAGTCTCAGGACCATCTTATGCCAGAGGAAAAAACAGTGCCCACGGAACTTTGTGAACATCACAACTGCTGTGAGGAACAGAGTCAAGGTAGTGGTGAAGAAGAGGAAAAGTGAAAAATTAATTAATTTTAGGGCTTCCTCTTCATCACAACCCTCTGTGGAAATTGAATAAAGTGAGACCCCAGAGAATGAGTCAGGATATGTGCAGTAGACATCCTCAGGAGACCCGAACATGGTGACATTGGTTTGGTTCAGCCAAAGGATAAAATTTCTGGTTTCACACTCACAGATATATTTGTTGTGGGTTATACCTAGGTGGCTCAGTGATGCAAATATGGTAGGGTCAGGGGATAGCAGGTGGTTGTGGGATAAAAGTAAGACTCTTAAATTTTCAGGTAGAACACCAGGAGATAGAGATGTCAGCCTGTTGCCATCCAGGCTAAGGATTTGTAATGCAGTCAGATCACTGAAAACACCAGGTGGAAGGAAATCAAGGTAATTATTATTCAGGAAGAGGGCTTTAAGATGAGAAAGTCTCTTAAACACATCCCAACATGATCCTGCTTGCCAGACCAGTTGCAGCATATTTTCTGAAAGATAAAGCTGCTCTAAGGTATGGTTCTTTAAAGGACTATACTGTTGATGACAAAAGGAAAATCGATTTTGATTTAAAATGAGAAACTTCAGACCTGGAGTCTGGAGAAGAGTATAGAGGTCATTCAGATTTTCCAACCTGTTTTGTGCTAAATCAAGGAATTCAGCAATTATTTGGACATTTTGAAAACTTACCAATTTATTGCCACTTAGGAAGCTAGTATTTAAATTTGGAAGAAAATTAACTGTTTTAATAGCATTATCACGAAGATCCAGAGTTTTTAAATTTTTCAAATGTTTGAATGTCTTCTCCTGAATCACCCCAATGTGATTTTTTTGTAGATCAATGTAAGCAACTTTACGCAGTCCATAAAAATCAGATTCGTAGAGTTCTCCCAGCAAGTTATAGGACAGATTGAGAGCCTGGAGACTGTCAAGGCCATAAAATGCTTCTTTAGCAATCTTGTTTACCTTGTTATGTGAAATGTCTAAAACTTTCAACTCTTTGAGGGTCTCAAACAGATGAAAATTTAGGGAGAATATGTAGCCGTGTGAAATATCCATGTTTATCACTGAACTCATGCCCAGTGCAGCAAATGTGCCTTGGTCAGGTTCCTTTATGTTATGAAAACCAAATCCTGCACCCATGATATGCCTGTCAAGAAGCAAAGAAGAAATCTTGGTTCCATTGATAGCATGACCAAAGTCTCGTATGATGTCTACTGTCCAGCCATTGTCTGAGACATCCAGGATCTCAAGGAACATGCTTTTGAAAGGATTCATGCACTTTTCCCAGTTGACTGAGATGCTTCTATAGAGGCTATTGGAAGCAAGATTAAACATAGAGAATCTTTTCCCTTGGAGGGGCTCAAGATCTCTTTCACATACAAGCGATATTTCATTCCGAGACAAGTCTATGGATTCCAAAGATTCCAGATCTCCAAAAGAAGGATGAAGGTGAAGACTTTGGATATGATTTTTAGATAGATCCAATATAGCCAAAGAACTTAAATTTCTAAAATAACCATCTTTTAGAATGGAATCTGAGAAACCACAGTAAAATAGCCGTAATTCAATCAAGTTGGGCAAGCCTTGAAAAGCATCAGTATGCAAAAACTGAATGTGACTATAGCCAATGTCCAATACTGTAAGGTTGGGCAAGTTTCTGAAAGCTTCTCTCTCAATTATCAGAGGAGTGTACTGAGTTCCTAGCTCTAGCAATCGAAGCTTCTCCAATAGAGGGAATGAAGTGGCATTGACTACCCTGATGTGGTTAAAACTTAGCAACAGGTTAATAGTGGTGTTTGGCACTTGGGGGACTTGGGTGAGGTTGCAGGAATGATATAAGGCAATTTGTCCGTCGGCTGAGCAAGAAGGAATTCCGAACACAGAAGTGGCTTCAAATACCAGTCCCAAGAGAAATGCAAGGAGGTGGCCCATTGCAATCCTAGAGAGAATGGAGGAAAGATCAAAACATACTGGGCTATATATTAAGAAGATCACAGGAAGGGTAGGGAACACAAAGTTAGATGATGCGATTGCTGCAGACAGTGACACTAGGCTTAGAGAGCACCCCCAGAATTTGAGGACAAAGTCATAGAATGTCACCCTCTGAAATGAAAGTTAATAAAATAAGAATAAAACTGATGAAAAGAGGCAACCCCCTGAAGGAGCCAATGTGACTTCCCATGTAAGAAATACTAGCTCTAACTAGGAGTTGTCCACCACTCAAGCTTTTTTAGAACAGTGAGTCATGAGGGGCTCTCTCCACAAGGATTCAAGCATGCTTACCATAGGGCATATGTCAAATTGTGCATAAAATCTTGGTGCATACTCAAGACCAATTGGACAAAGGATTTCTGAATTTTAAATCATATTTCCTATTTGCTTCTTGAATCCCATTACCTTCATATTGTGGACTTGTTCTTCCTAACCTTGGACGCTTCACTTGTTTGTCTTATATTTGCTTGGTAATTCATTCGGGATGTTTTGAAAACTGACCCTGCACCCTGGACCCTTTGTGTCCAACCCCTTGAGCAATGAGATGCTACCTCTGTGACATATTCTGCCAAGAGCAGGCTAACATGCTGGCACTGTCACCTGTACCTGGGATATAGAACGTTAATCTAAAGGATAGTTTGTTGATGAGATCTGAGTAGTTTGTAAAGCATCATGGGATTGGATGGGTCTTCTGAAACCTTAGCAGGGGCAGTAGCTATCTAACATGTAATAAGCATAAAACAACTTGTGATTTACCTCATTGTAACATGTTCACCATGAGGAAATGTTTTCCCAACAGAAGGATGGTGGTCTGCATGGAGTCTTAAAAAAAAAAAAAAGATAAACGAAGAGTAGGAATTTGTAAATGTTTATCCATCATGGGCTAATGGAGGGAGAGGCTTCCTTACAGAAGAGTATATTCAGAAATGTTTATGATGTAAAAATTAAAATAATCAATCAGACTTAAAAAGAAAAGTCCCTAGATCACAGAAGGGCAATGTAATAAGAAATCCAGATTAATAAAAACATATTTCCATATTAGCCATGTTGCAAAAAAAAAGCAAGAAAAATAAAATGAAAAAATATACAACTTCAGTTTGTACCTAGAGTTCAACAGTTCTCTCTTTGAAGGTGGATAGCATTTTTTTTTAATCAGGAGACCTTTGAATTGTCTTCGATCATAGTATTGATCAAGTAGCCAAGTCTTTCATAGCTAATTCTTATCACAATATTGCTGTTATTATGTACAATGATCTCATTCTGCTTATTTCACTCTGCATCAATTCATATAGGTTTTCCCAGGTTTTTCTGAAACCAACCGCCTCAACATTTCTCTCTCCTTTTTGGGTGTGTGTGTGTGTGTGTGTGTGTGTGTGTGTGTGTGTGTGTGGCAACTGGGGCTAAGTGACTTGCCCAGAGTCACATAGCTAATGAGTATTATGTGTCTGAGGGCAGATTTGAACTCAGGTCCCCTGAATCCAGGGCCAGTGCTCCATCCTCTGCTCCATCTAGCTGCCCCTCTCATCATTTCTTATAGCACAATAATATTCCCTTACAATCATATACCACAACTTGTTCAGCTATTCCCCAATTGATGGGTATTACCTCAATTTCCAATTCTTTGCCACCACAAAAAGAATCGCTATAAATAGCTTGGTATATATGGGTCCTTTTCCTTTGTCTTTGACCTCTTTGTGGCACAGACCTAGTAGTGGTATTGATGGGTCAAGGGGTATGCACAGTTTTATAGCCCTTTGGGCATAGTTCTAAATTATCCTCCAGAATCGTTAGACCAGTTCACTGGTCCACCAACAGTGCAAGTTTCCCAATTTTTCCACATCTCCTCCAGCATTTTTCATTTTCTTTTTCTGTCGCATTAGCCAGTCTGATAGATGTGAGGTGGTACCTCAGAGTTGTTTTAATTTCTACTTCTCTAATTAACGATTTAGAGCATTTTTTCCATATAACTGTTGATAGCTTTAATTTCTTCTTCTGAAAACTGCTTGTTCATATCCTTTGACCATTTATCAGTTTAGGAATGGTTCTTATTTTTTGTAAATTTGACTCAGTTCCCTTTATATTTGAGAAATGAGGCCTTTATCAGAGAAACTTGATGCAAAAAAATTTTCCCCCCAATTTCTTGCATTCCTTTTAATTTTGGCTGCACTGGTTTTGTTTGTCGAAAACCTTTTTTAATTTCATGTAATCAAAATTATCCCTTATGCTTCCCATGATCCTCTCTATCTTTTGTTTAGTCATCAACCCTTCCCTTACCCATAGATCTGTTGTCTTTCCCTGATTCCTCCATCTTATTTTGTACACAAGTTTAAAATTTTGCATTTATCCCTATGGAATTTCATCTCATCAGATCAGTTCAAATGCTGTAGCCCAGGGATTGGCAAACGTAAGTGTGTAGGACAAATCCTGCTCACTGCCTGTTTTTGTATGCCATGTGAGCTAAGAATGGTTTTTACATTTGTAAATAAAGCCTTATTGTATTTAAAAATTTTTCAGTCATTATTAGCAGTGGGCAGGTTTGGCCCAGGAGACATAGTTTACCTGCTTTAGACTGTGAAGATTATTTTGGATCCTTCTGTAATTTAGTATGTTAACTATCCTTCCCTACTCCATGTCATTGGAAAATTTGATGACTCTGTCATCTATGCCATTAGCCAAGTAATTGTTAATGTTAAACAACACAGGACCAAGCACAGATCCCTGGACTGATCCACTAGAGGCCTCTAGACACCTTCACATTGGAGGAAAAACAACTACTTTTTCAGTACAGTCATATAATCAGATCTGATCTGTCTGATTATATTATCATCTAAATCATATCTTTCTGTCTTCTCCACCAGAATAGTAGTATGAAAGGCTTTATTAAAAGCTATGCTGCCCCCAAAGACCCTTGACGCCATGACTAAGTATCCCAAAGAGATCAAAGAAAGAAGAAAAGAATTCCTATGTACAAAAAATATTTATAGCGGCTCTTTTTGTAGTGGGAAAGAATTGAAGCCTAAAGAGGTATCTATTAATTGGGGAATGGCTGAACAAGTTATGACATTAGTATAAAGGAATGCTATTGTGCTATAAGAAGCTAAGAAATTGATGGAAATACTTATATGAAATGATGCGGAATGAAGTTGGTAGAATCAGGCGGAAAATATACAATGGCAACAACATTATAAAGAAAACTAAATTTGAAGGACAGAGGAACTCTGATGGGCACAATGACCAACCAGGATTCCAGAGGACTTAAGAGGTAGAATGTGACACACATTTTTGGACACGGGAAATGTAGGAATTTATTTTGCTTTACTTGCATTTTTGTCACAAGGGTTTTGTTTTCTTTTTGAATTGGGGGGAGAAGAGGTAGATAAGAGAAAAAAATGCTTATTCATTGAGAAAATAAAATAAGATTTAAAAAAGAGCTTTGCTAAAATTTAGGTACAGTATATCTGCCTTTTTTCCCTCATCTACTAGTTTAGTCATCCTATCAAAAAGCAAATGGAATTAGTCTCAATGTAGCCTTGCTTACTCTTTGTAATCAATAATTCTCTCTCCAGATGTTTGGTGACCATATCTTTAAAGATGCATTCTAGAAAGTGGTCCCTAGAATTGTAGTCAAATTCAATGACTCATAAAGTTAGCATATAAAGTTCTCTTTTTTAAAAAAAAAATCAGTACATTTGCCCTTTTCCAACATTGTATTACCTCTTTCATTTCCCATTATGTTTTCAAATATCAAAAACAGTTGCTAAGCAATCACATCTGCCAGATTTTTTTTTTTTTAGTAAATGAGGATGTGCCATTTGGATGCGGTGACTTGAATTCATCCAGTACAGCTAGGTCCTCTCTTTCTTTTACCTTACTTATCTTGGTCATCTACTACCTCAGTCAAGACAGATTAACACATAATTTGCATCTTATTTATAGTCTTAGAGTGTTTATTGTTATAACGAGAGGTGAAGGGGATTTTCCAGGGGTCACAAGCTAGTATGTGATAGGTAGGACTTGATAGTTTTTTTTTTTTAATCTGAGTCTGATTCTCATCAACCAAGCCATGTTGCCTCTCTCCAAAACCATCTTTAAGCAGTCAGATTGGTCTCATACTTGACCATTTAATTAACTGAATGGAACAGGTTCAGGTTCCTAGCAAGTATACCTTTGAGAGAGAATAAAACAGGCCATCTGATGGAAAGACATGCACTCGGCTCCTTACATGCTTTTGTCCCCTTAGCTTCATGGCTGTGAGCACTGAATGATTCTGCCTGGAGTTGGCAATAACACAGCACCCCTGGTATATCTGTGCAACTCTCAGCACTTTGAGGAAATGTTGATGTTTCTAAGAACCATGGATCTCATTAACTAGGGAATGGACGAACACATTGTACGTGAATGTAATGGAATAATGATGAGTCTGTGATGTAAATGGGAAAAGGCAAACCAAGGAGTGACTTTATGAAGTGCTTATTATGTTCTGGAGATACAAATAGAGAAGACAGCCCCATCTCTTATGGGGGAGACAACACACATGGAAAGTTTTAATTGCAAGTCAGATGGCAATGTCCAATGGTCCTTAGGGTGCAGTAGCAAAGCAAATGGTAATGTCTCTTCTTAAATGCCATTTCCACTGTTATAATTATATCAGTTTCTGATGTTGAGTCAACTTGATGGTGCTAAGGACTTTGGTGGCAAGAACTTACTTTTCTGAACCTTCAGTAGCTTTGGCTATAGCATTTATAAGAGCAGTGAGTTGCCACATTAACTCTCTACAGGCTTATTATTATTATTGTTATTGTTATTATCATTTCTTAGGATGATTGCTGTCAGAGGAGCATTGGAAAGAGAAATGAATCTTCTTCAGAACAGGAATAGACCCTAACCCCACCCCCCAATGACTGTTAGCAAAATATCTCTTTTACTACTTTCCCCAGCTTCCCTTAATTGATGCCTTTCCTAGAAGCTTAGATCCCATCAGAAGGAATTCCCTTTGCAGCAATAAAACAATCTCACAGTAAGTTCAAGAAATAAGCCTCCCAAATTACTTTACTTTCCCTTGCTCAGATATTATGAAAGGTGGTGGAGAATTGGCTTTCTTAAAAATATGTTAATTGTTCATAACAGGTGGCAGTGCCAGCTTCCCTGGCCAAAAGAAACAAAAATACCCCCCACCATTTATGTTCTTGAATTAAAATGCAAATATTTTGAGTTGTAAGTTTAGGAGGGAAATGCAGATAATAGCCAGGAAGTGGTTTCTGTTCCAATAGCCTTTTTTTTGGGGGGGGGGGAAGGGAGAGGAGGGAGGAGAGAAGGAGAGGATGAGAAAGAGGAAGGCATAAGAGAATAGTTCCAGGATACTTCTAAATCTGTTTGGCAGATATGTGAAGCATCATGTTTCAATGGAGTCCATATTTGGACTTAAGGCAAAAGGATGGCTAATCTTCAGTGAAAGGAAATATTTCATCTATATAGCAGCAATGTTTTCCAGCATTATATGTATGCCCTGGCCTGATTCTCTCAGAGTTGGGAAGGTGACAAATTCTTCTCAGGTTTCTCAGGAACTCCAAAGAGTTTGGGGCTATTTTTTCTCTGCCATTGGCTTAAACTCTCATTGGCTCTGTTCCCCTCCTTTGTTAGGGGGGATAATGACTAACACCCCAGGTTTATTTAACCACTTAATACTTAAAGCTTTTATGAATGGATGTTTACTTCAAAGATATAGTAAGAACAAATATGCAAACATCTCCCCTAACATTTCAGGGACATAATTCCCACCCTTCGCATATCACCTCATTCTCTTACTGGGGAGACTAGGGTAA